TTGGATACAACTCCGGTTGTTATAAACCCAGTCATGGGGTACACCTCTATGCGGTGACTGGGACAAGTAAGCTAAAAATTTTTTTTTTAGCTGAAACCAAGTATCCCAAACAATTCGTGTAATTTTAAATAATTTTAGATTTATTTAATTTCGAAATTTTATTAAATGTTTAAAATTGTATAAATTTGTATAATTAAAATTTATTAATAAAATTAATAAAAATATATTAATAAAATTAATAAAATCTATTAATAAAATTAATAAAAATCTTAATAAATTAATAAAAATCCAAAGTTTTTTAAAATCGACAATGAATTTTAAAGTGTTTAAAGTATTTAAAATGTTTTAAATTATACGTATAACGATACATATTGATGCATTTGCTAACATATATTTGATCGATTCGATCTGATTCAATGACTTATTTTAGTTTAATTCTATTATAATCATCAATTCTGGATCTTCAATCTCATAAAACCATTTATCAGTCTCGCTATAAATTTTGTTAGCTTTATTTTGTTTGGTTTAAACCTTTCAAGTTTATATTAACAAATAAAGTGAAGATACGAGAATAATCATTTTTTCTTGATGTCGTATCACCTCAACACTTATACTGCACTCTAAATTCGTATAATTCTATATCTTTTACTATTATACATTTTAAAAACATTCATTAACGTTTTTTGCGATTATAACGATTTAGATCTTACTCTTATACTTTAAACATTTATTTATACCTTTACGAACATGAAAAAAATTAATATGCAATCTTTCCTATGGATTGCAATATATTCTATATTTATTATATTATTTGTGTATGTACAAATATATATATATATATGTATATTAATTGAACCACAAGCATACAATAATGGACTCTCCACCTCCCCAAATTGCAATAAAAAAAGAAAAAAATGATAGTAAATTAAAATCACCCGAAATGACTAGTCTTACAAGCGCAAACCCTCATAAATAAGCAATAAAATGACGCGAAAAGTCAAGTTAGCTGTGATTCGGAATTATTCAGAAATAAGGCTAGAAGACTAGAAACTCATTTGATGTTCCTCTTTCTCCTGAATTATTATTATAAATTGTACCAGTAGACGTTTCTCGACCAATAAATCACAAAAAAAAAGAAGTTAAACGAACGTCGACATAAATGAATACAAACCTTTTTTCTTTTCTTCTTTTTATGTTCTCCATCTTTATCTTTTTTATGATCTTTTTCCCGTTTATGTTTCTGTTTCTTTTCTTTATGTTCTGAATCATGCTTGTGTTTTTTCTTCTAATTAATATTTAAAAAATATATATATATCAATATACTGCATAATATTCTTCAAAATTCTCACGATCGAACAAATTTTATACCAACCTTTTTCTTCTCGTGTGACCTTTCACTACCATTTAACTGATGATCTGTAGTTTCTGAAACGTAATGAACATACGTAAATGTAAAAATTAATAATAATAAACGTAATAACACAATAAATAAATAAATAAATAAAAATGAAATGTATTATATTAAAAAAATATATATATATATAATAATGATAAATAAATACCAGGTAATATTCGAGTTTCTTGATCATTTGTACCTGTAGATTTTGTAGTACTCACATCTGATGATACCAAACCGTAATCTTCTGGATTAAACTAATAATAACAAATATATAATTCTTTCTCTTATATAATTTGATGATTTATTGAAAAAAAAAAAAAAAGAATTCAAACATTTGTTTTATCTTTAATAAACTTACATCAGCGATTGACCCTATGCTAAATGAATCTAAAAATTGATCGTATATTTTACGGTCTAGAGGAAACTTTTCGCGAGGAAATTTTACGTTCCATGTTCGTTGATTTGCAATCACATTTCTGAATTGATAACCTGGAAATATTTTTTGTTTCCGTACTGGAGTATGTCCCAATAAAATAGTTCAATAATTTCCGACAAGTATTTCTGTGTTATGTTTCATCTAGTAACAATAACTTATTTACCAGGATCTTCAATAGAGGCACAAAATTCCTTTTCGGTGCCCTTTTCTTTAACTGGTTGGACATAGTTTTTATAATATTTATTTAGAAGTTCTGATTTGTTGTTAGATTCTAGCCATTCAGTTCTAATCGGAGAGTTTTCTAGTTTCGGTATATCCATATATTCCACTGAACTCTGAGACTCTTTTTGATTAACTTGAGCGTTCCAGGAACAAAAAAGGTAAGTCTAAAGTCCATTTTTAAGATATGCTTCGTAAATTTGTATTTTTAAACCTTGCCTTCTGGTGGTATAAAGTAAAAATAATTGGCTTTGTCAAATTTCTCCATAGCAAATAGCTTTTTTTTTTTTTTTTTTTGTTTCGATATAACAAAGAATATGAAGTGAGAAACTGCAAGTTCTTATATATGTACTTTTTTCCTACGATCTCATGATCTGCATATTTAACTATCGTACGTATCTATCACATCAGTTTTTAAATAAATAGGAATCAATATCTAATGACGTTATTACGTGATTTTAAAATATTACTAAAAATTACGAAAAGTATGGGCGAAGATTTAACATTAAACGAATAGTAAGTAAACCTTTTTTTAAATAATACGCGTCGCGTTTTTTAAAAAAAGAAGGTGATCTATAAGTATTCATTATTTTTATTTAAAGTGAAAAACAACGACTTGAAAATATTCGTCGAAATGAAGAAATTCTTAGACAACTAAACATTCCGGAACTTGCTCGTTCTGTAAAACGTCAACTGAAACCAAAGCAAAAACCAAGGCCAAAACCAAAGCAATTTCAAGATAAAAAACCAACTCAACCCACACGTCAATCTTTACGTATACGCGGTTTTACACCTGATGGAATTGAGGCTAAAAGGAAAGCTGAACAAGATGAAAAAAGACTAGAAGGAGAAAAACGCGTTAGAATGATGGGTGATCTTGATTTAAATTCTATTCGATCAGATATGACGTCTATTGATGATACCAATGATTTTGTTGATATTTTATCAAATTTAACAAAATCCAACTTGAGTGAAGATCGTAAAAGTATTTCAGATGATATTGATTATAGTTGTATTGCGGGAGGAGTGGATGGTTTTAAAGCAGTTCGAATGGCTTGTAGATCTCTTGCTATTGGAGAGAAATGGTCATCAGTTAAAGTTACCCCGGAGAGAATATATTGTATTGCTATTCATCCTGCTAAGGAGAAAGTTCTGGTTGCTGCTGGCGATAAAACTGGATGGCTTGGATTTTGGGACGTTAAAGAAAGTATTAAATCCGAAGATGAAGATGAAGAAGATCAACCAAGAACCTATTTGTTTCAAGCTCACACAAAAACCATAACATCTACAATGTATTCACCTACTAATTCTAATAATCTTTACACGTGTTCATATGATGGATCTATTCGAT